ACTAAGCCCCTGTTTGATGACCATTATTTTTGAAAAAATGAAGTTTTGAATAGTGATTTTTTTTAAGAACGCGTGATTAAAAAATAGGGAAAATATTTTATTGTATAAATGTGTAGTTGACATGTGTATACGAATTAAATTTTTTTGAAACAATGATTGTCAAATATGGGCTAACTTTAATTGAAGTAGCACCATTTTTAGATATTTATGATGTTAAAGTAAATTCTAAAACTAATTAATTATACCATAAAGCTTTTAAACTAACAAAAACGCGTCAATGAAACTTGATAATTAATAAAAATCACAAGGACTTTGAAGAATGCCCCTATAATTTTTCATTTTAATACCAATTTCATAATTTGATAACATTTATTTAAACTTGACTATCAATATTTCTATTTTACTTAAAAATCTCAATCGGGGCAATATTAAAATTATCTTCATATATGAGAGAGGGTGTTTGGTGGGGATTAAAATTAGATTTTTAGTGGATTGTAATAGAAGTTTTTGAAATGTGTGGTTCAAAAGATGTGGGACCCATGAAAGATGTGGTTAATATTGATTGTTTGACTTTAACTTAAATTAAAATCAAATTTTAATCCGACTCAAACAGAATATCTTTATAAAAGATGGAAACATATGAAAATACATTCATCAAAATAATATTCATTGAGATCAAGCATATTATAGCAGAATATATCTATCACCGATCACACTTTACAATGATTATTACCACGTGCTATAATTATTATTCTTCTTGAATAAAATAGCAATCACAAATCAATTCTATTATCGATCAAGTAATTGAAAAGCATTGATAACTTAACGATCATCCAACCAAACAAATAATTAAAATCAAATATGGATTTTAACATAAAAACATAAAAATATAGGATTCCTAGTTATTCCAACATCCATATAATTAGCCGAGCATCATGATATTAAAAAACTACAACTTGAAATCATAATACATCATCCATAATTCAGGTGTAGAAAGAAGATGAAAAATAATTTTGGTTTTTTCACAATTTTTTAATGATATTCTTGAATCATCTTCTTCAAAATCCAAGCAATCGTATGCAGGGGCGGACCCAGCATCCGGCCAGCCCCCGCGGCCGCCTATGCTGGGTCCGCCGGGAAGAGTTGCAGCAGCCGGCGATCAGAAGAGGAAGAAGATGAGCAACCAATGTTTTTTTTTTCCTTTCTAACCATTGAGGCTTTGAGCTTGGGCTTTTATTTTTAAACAATAAGGCCCAATGGCCAATTGCAACAACCCATTTTTACAAAATCCAAATGCAAGATCAATCCCCAAATTGATTCAAACCCAATTGACCCAAACGAGAGGAGGCGAGGCAGGAGAGACCAGAGACGAACATCGATTGGCGAAGGCTCGAAGTCGAAGCTTACCTGTGGCTGTGGCTGTGGGCTGTGGCTGCACCAGCACCACCACACGAGGCTCCTGTTATTTCCAGTTCCAGGCTTCCAGTCCGCAGCCAGCAGGCTGCAGCTAGCCTCCAGTTCCACTGTTCCAGCACCTCACGGCAGTCGTCCAGCAGGCAGCA